ACCAAAGCCTGGAAACTTCCACATGTATCTCTTTATGTGATTCTTGGCTAGAGTAAAAAACAAAAACAAAAGTCATCTCTCTCGTGTTTCTTAAATGACGTTTATCTAAGAATCACTGGGTGCTTGTTAGAGTCTCACAAATTATTTAAGTTCCTGTGACCCTTTGCAGAAACCAACACACTACTTCCTGGGATTGGGCCCAGATATCTGCATTTTTACAAGCATACCAGGTATCCAGAGTAAGGGGGTCTGTGGACCACATTTTCAGAAATGTTGCCTTGAAGTCTTCCATGTGCCTCAGCTGTCTAATTGCTGTGTGAGGGGCCATGATTTAATCTATTTCCAAGGAATGGGGTCTGGAAGTAGTTGCTCTCCTCCCACATTCAATCTGTCATCTCCTTCTGCCACACTGTTACAACGTTTTCTTCTGTTCATACCCTCTCCTTCAGCTGCTCACCCAAAATCATTATCTACACTGAAGGCATTTCCGGTAGGGCTCCTCTCTACAGGAGAAAGGTGCAGCAGGGACCTGGGCAACACTTCTCTCTTGGCCTGAGTCACTGCATCACTCAGTTGGCCAGAAGTGCCAACATGATGAGCAAAAGCTGAGTCTTACATTTATTTTCTTCTGTTTTTAAAGTATGAGTTTCTTGCCAATATTTAAAAATGTGAGGACTGTTCCCAAAACATACAGGTGTCTGGCTATTATTATCAAAAGATATGGCCAGTTTGGACCTTTTCTCTAAAGTCCCCTGCAGTTGAGGAGAGGTTGCCTCCCACTCTGCATAGGCCCCACCCAGCAGAGGTAGGTGTATGGTAAAGATAAGGGGCCTAACACATCAGGGCCCTGCTCTTCCAAGGCCTGCTGCCTAATTTCACACTTGCAATTTTGTGAGGTTTTCTTAAATAGGCTCACAAATTGTTTAAGTTCAAGATTCACCTCTTCCACTCTACTCTATGTACTTCCCACACCGAGGTCGAGGTTTTGTTACCATTTATCACCAGTCTTGTCAGTAGATTTTATAAAGTGGAAGAAATAGTTCTCTGAACTCATGGGTCTATAAAACCAGAAGACAAATAGAAAGGGCCTCATATTTCAGAAAGAAAGTGAGTCTATCTCTTGGAGGATGTGATCTGGCCCACATCCCTGGCATTTATGTCATGATCCTTGGCTGCATCTAGTCCTCCTTCTACAACTTGTGATTCCTTAAATTCCCCATAGCTGAAACCATTTTTGTACATAGTCATCATGTGTGCTTTCTTCAAAGATATATTAAATCCTATCAATTTAATCCTCATGGTAAAGAAAGGCTGCTAAGAATCCCCATGTTAAAGAAAAAAAAAAAAACATAGTATCTGTCCATAGAAAGAGAGTAAGCTATATATATCTTGGTCTTTGAAATGGAATGTCCTAGGGGGAAAGGACTGAATCTTTTCTGAATTTTTTACTGCAAGTGTTTGCAGGCATGGCTAAATGCTAACTCAATAAATATTCATTGACACTGATGATAAGACATGTATGGAACAGAGCATATGTTCTCCAGTTACCTTCTAGGATATGTGTTTTCTGTATTGGTCACTGTTTGGAACAGATCCTTTTATCCCATAGTATTAGAGCTCTGTGGAGATATAAATATTTTGTTGTAATAACAGGCTGTGATAGGGAATTCAGTCATTACATTTCCCCCTTCCAAGATACTCTTTGCTTGACTTTGATTTTCTTGTGTTGTGCATGATGCATTTTATAGCCCCATTTTTCACTCTCAAGATTGTTAAGGATTTGGTGATGTTTTCGGTGACTATATTTATTACTTAGCAGACCAGTGCCTCTGCTTCTCCCCAGGAATGGGGGGAGATGGTGGGGGGTGGTAAGGAGGCATGGATTATAGATCATCTGGCAGGGAGTTTTCCCTGAACCATTTATTTGAAGCTTATTTTAACATTCCCCGTTGCAGACTGTTAGTCTTCTCTTTTTAGACAACATCTTTGAAGATATACAAATAAGACTAAATATAAACAATAGGGCATATTTTAAAATGTGGCTCTTGCCTTATCTATTTTCTAATTCTTCCTGGCTAAAGAGTAGAATGGGGGAAATGTGACATATTTCTCTAAATCTAATCCATTAGCTATTATTACTATTATTATTAATTTACAAAATAATAGGTTGGGAGCCAGTGCTCATCAGCCATTGTGCATATTTGTTGGTCATGACTATGGAGATAGTAAAGGATGAAATTTTGGTGGGGGACAGTGTACTGGGGATTGGACTTAGAGGCACTCAACCACTGAGCCACATTCCCAACCCTATTTTGTATTTGATTTAGAGACAGAGTCTCACTGAGTTGCTGAGTGCCTCTGAGTTGCTGAGGCTAGCTTTGAACTTGTGATCCTCCTTGCTTCAGCCTTCCAAACTGCTGGGATTACAGGCGTGCACCACTGTGCCCGGCAAGGATGGGATATTTTAACATTAATTAATGTGAGCCTATTTTTTCAGAAATTTTCCATTTTACTTATATTTTGCCTACACAAATGTCAATCAATATTTTTCTGTATTTAAACTGGTTCCCTGAGTAACAGCTGCCCAGTTTGAAATCATCTCTAATCCTAAAATTTAATTAAGATGATTCCAGAATACTTGAATCCTCTGATGTCTGAAATAATCCAACAAAATTTCTGAAAAGGGTATTATGAGAAAGCAAAACGATTGGGCAATTATTCTTATAATCATATATACAAAAATCCCAAGCAAAATAAAATCAAATCTAATCAGTTTATTAAAAGTGTATATAAAATGTGACCAAGTTGTGGTTTTCCCAAGACTACAAGGTAATTTGGATATTTGAAAATCAATTAACCACAGAGTAAAGAAGAAAAATGATTATTTCAATAAATATAACAAAGTATTTTAATGAGATTTTACCAAGTTCATAATAAACTCTTAGCAAACAAGTAACAGACAGGACTTCTTAAACAGAATAAAAAATACATACAAAATGAACTCAACATGCTGAAAATATCCTGAGATCAGGAAAAAGAAAGGATGCTTACTATAACTACTACTCCTGGACGTGGAACTGAAGGTTTTAATCCTGTAGGTCAAGGAAAAGAAGTATAAGGTATTGGAAAAGAAATGCCATTCACATGGCACAAGTTTGCATATAATATGTTTGCATTCATAATCCAAAGGAGTCATTAGAGTATTATAATTAATATATGAATTTATAAAGGTCATTTCATAAAAGTACCATATAAAAACCATTATATTTTATATATTACCTCAAATAACTGATAATGAAAACTTGAACATACATAGGAATATAGATAAGAAAAGATAAGACAGAAGGAAACCTAGAGAGAGAAGGAATGAAAAATACAAAGCAAAAGGTAAAATACAGAGGGAATATTCTGAAAAGGACTAAGGCATGAATAATTGCAGTCCCAGAAAGAATGTGGCAGAAGTAATGACTGATGAGATAATGGCTGAGAAAATTCCAATGCTGGTGGAAAAACATCAAGGTATAGATTAAGAAGTCTTACAAACTATCAACAAAATAAATAAGAAGAAATACATACCCATGTGCATCACATGCCAAAAATAAGTGACAAAGACAAAAATCTTAAAACCAGGAGGTGAAGTGAAGGAAGACTAAAGACATATTACCTTTGAATTATAAAAATTACACTGTGAGCTGACTTCATAAGAGAAATAATGGGAGCGAGAAGAAAATGGGGAAATATAAAGTACTTTAAAAAATAACTGACAATTTAAAATTCTATTTTCATCTTTAAAGAATACAATTGAAATGGAGACATTTTAAGAGGAAGGAAAACAGAGGATTTATCACGAGCACACCTATTTTCATGAAAATCCCAAAGGGTAATTTTTTTAGGCAGAATAAAAATGTTCCCAGATGGGAGAAGCAGGAAGAAAGAGAACTTTATGAATATATCTAAATGAATATATGGCAATAAAAAACAATACTAAAAGTGTCTTTTGATTATAAATCATGAGTTAGGTAAAAGGAATTAAAGTATTCTAGGGTCCATGAATTGTCCAAGAGTGGGGAAAGAGTATCAATAAACTCTATATTCTAATAAGTTAAGAATGTATATTGTAATCTCAAGGGTAACTAAATGTTAAAGAAATTGAAGAGGATTTATAATTTTGAAACTAATAGTGGGAAAAAATGGAATAATAAACAACAAGCAAATCCAAAACAAGTTTAGAAATCAGGGACAAGGAACATAAAGCAGGTTAAACAAGTAGAAAATAAAAGGTAATTTTTTTCATTTGAAATACAAATACACCATTGTTTAATGGTTAGCAATATGAAATACAAATACGTCAGCAATTAAATGCTTTAATTAATAAGAAAAAAATCCAGAATAAAGAGATTTATGAGGTAGGTAAGAGACCTAGCTAAAACATAAGGGTTTAAAAAGGCTGACATGAAAACTTTGCTTAAAGAACTCTGAATACATTTTATGTTTTTACTATAATTCACCATATGCTGATCCCTCAAGCAAATTTCAGTGAGCATCAAAAGGTTCACATCAGAGTGTGTTCTAGATCCACAATGCAATTAGCTACAAAAAAATACAAAATTTTCATATACTTTTATACAAGCCTTGATCAAAGTAGAAAAAATAGAAATTAGAAAATATTTTGTACAGAATAATTATTATGTCTTAAAACCTGTTGGATACAGCTCAATTTTTTTATAGACAAATTACAACTTCATATGCAAGGAATAACATCTGAACATTGACTTATTAACAACTCATCTCTAGAAATTTGCCATTCTTTGAATGTGCTCCCTAAAATTCATGTGTTTCCAATGCAACAGTGTTAGGAGGTAGGGGTTGAGAAGTGATTATGTTGTAAGGGCTCTGCCCTCACTGATGGATTAATATCGTTGTCAGGGAGTGGCTTATTTATGAAGAGAGTGGAGAGCAAGTCCAGCACCCTCTCTCTTGCTTGCTGTCCTACAGGTTCCCTTGCTCTTCAGCCTTCCATCAGGATGATGCAGGCTGAAGGCCTTCACCAGATGTCAGCACCTGGATCTTGGGCTTCTCAGTCTCCAGCCTGAGAAATACAAGCAAGATACTTATTTCCCACAGTAAGGCAAAGTAAGTATTTTTTTTGTGTAAATTATCCAGTCTATGGTATTCTGTTATAATGACACAAAATGAACTAAGACAAAGTTAGTAAATAATATCAAGTCAAATTTAAAGAAAATAATAAAGATAGCAGAAATTAATGAAATAGAAAACAAATAATAAAAATTAATAAGCAAAAAATTGAAATTCCTCTTTTAAGAAACTAATAAAATGATAAACCCCTCTGAGACTGATCAAGAAAAGGAAAGAAATAAAAAAATAACCAATGTCAGGAATGAAGCTGGAAACACCATTATAGATCTTATAGACATTAAATCTATAAGAGAATATAAGGAACAACTTTATGCCAATATTCTTGAAATTTAGATAAATTTTATAAATTCCTTGAAAAAACAGAATTGACTTTATACAAGAAAAAAACAATTGTTCTGAAAATATCAAATATATTAAATCTATAATTTAAGTTTGCTTTAAGGAAAGTTTTGAGCCTTAATGGCATCAGCAGTGAATTCTACTAACCACACAAGGAAGAAATAACACTGATATTACAAAAACTTTTTAAGAGAATAAAACAAAGAAACATGCCCAACATAATTTATGAAGCCAGCATAATCTTGATATCCAAACCTAAAAGCTCACTATGAGAAAGGAAAACTATAATCCAGTCCCATTTTTGAAAAAAGACAAATAGGTTAATGAAATAGAGAAAAAATTTCCTGTGACATACATCACTGACAAAAAAGTTGATTTTGAAATATATAGAAACTGTCTACAAATTGACAGAAAAAGAAACCTTGATAGGAATATAGGCAATACCTCTGAATGGTCACTTCACAATAGAGAACATTCCAATGACTAATAAAAAATATGAAAAGATGCTCACAACTTCACTACAAAATACTAATTAAAGTCACAATGAGAAATTACTACTTATTATTGAGAACCCAAATGAATGATGGCACCAAGTGTCGAACACTGCTGGTGAAAGTGTAAATCAGTACAAACAGTTTGTAAAACTATTTTTGTTATAGACTAAAGCTAAACATGGAATTGTGATTAAGCAATTCTACTTCTGGGTAAATACAGGACAAGTGTGTGTGCATAAGTGTGCCAAAGCATTACATACAAGGATGTCAACAGCATTATTCAGAGTAGTCCCAAGCTGAAAGCAGCCAAATGTTTATCATTAAGAGAATAGAAAATATGAGTTTATTGAATATCTAAGAAATAGAATTCTCTCAGTACAAGTATTTTAAGTATTTTTTAGTTGTAGATGGACACAATACCTTTATTTTATTTGTTTATATTTATGTAGTGCTGAGGATTGAACCCAGTGCCTCACATGTGCCAGGCAAGCGCTTTACCACTGAGCTACAACCCAGCCCCAGAGTATAAGTCTTTTTATCTCTGAAGATTTGTTCTTTATAAAATTGCCTCTATATAACAAAATTTCGTTATATGTAAACCAGCAATAGATCTGGAATAAATCAATACAAGAATGTGATCCTATGAAAGTTATAGCTATGCAGATAAATTTTCTGGGGTATTACCTTAAGCTTAAGATATAACCATGACCATATTCATACATATAGTAAATTTTTTGGTTATATAGATTCTCACTGGAGATACAGAATTTAGATAATATCATAAATATAATCAGGATAGAAAGCACCCATAAAGCTTGCCACTCTGAGTAAGCACTAGTCATATTTTAAAATATTTTCAGCTATTCTTTTTTGTATACCTGTGTATGTATATATTATTATGTGATTGGAATTATAGTGACTTTTCACTTTTATACATGCTTATTGTCAATTATGATATTCTGAAAAATTTGAAGCATCAAGAAATGTTTTTCAGAAATTTTATATTCCTTAATTTTGGATTTTAGATTGTTTTCATTATTTTCCTGTTATATAATGCTGTGATGTTTTAATAACAATTTTATTGAGATCTAATTCACACCTCATCCAATTCAATCACTTAATTGAATGACTTTTAGTACCCACAGCATTGTGCATCCTTCACCCCAATTTATTTTAGAATATTTTAATTACCCCAAAGGAAAAAAAAAAAGTCACAAAGTCTACTCCCTTTAACCATGAACACCCAAATTCTTCCACTCCCTGTCCAGCACTAGGCAACAAGTAACCTATTTTCTATATCTACAGGTTTGCCTATTTAGGAAACAATATAAATTGAGTCATACAATATGTAGTCCTTTCTAATAGACTTCTTTCATTTAGCATAATATTTTTTAAGGTGATCCATGATGTAACATGTATCAATATTTCATTTCTTTTTAAATTTTTTTGGTTGTAGATGGACACAATATTTTTATTTTATTTATTTATCTTTATGTGGTGCTGAGGATGGAACCCAGTGCTTCACATGTGCTAAGCAAGCCCCCTACAACTGAGCCACAACCCCAGCCCACTTTCTTTCTTTTATTGCAAAATAATATCACCTGTGTGTTGATACCATGTATTATAAATCTATTCATCAGTTAATGGACATTTGGGTTGTTTCCACTTTTGGCTATTCTAAATAATGTTGATGTAAACATTCATGGATGTTAGTGTGGACATATGCTTCTATTTCCCTTGGACACATAATTGGAGTGAAAATTGCTGAATCATATGGTAATTCTATGTATGATTATTTCGGAATGGTCAGACTATTTTCCAAATGACTTCATCACTTTATATTCCTACCAACAATGTATGAGTGGAACTTCCTGTTTTTCTACATCCTTACCAACACTTGTTATGATCTAATTTTTTTTAAAAAATATAGCTGGCCTGTTAGGTATGAAGTACCATATCTTTGTGGTTTTGATTTGCATTTCCCTGATGGATGGTTGCCTGAAATTCTATTTGATAAGGACATGTTTTGGATGTAAAATTACTGAAATATGGGGACAATTTTTAAAGGTTGAGATATAGTGCCAAACTGCTTTTAAATAATAAAATAATTACATGGATTTTACTCTGCCTAAAAGTATGTAGTATTCTCATTCCATAAAGTTTACATTAAAATAGATATTTAAATCCTTGCTAATTTAGTCAAATTGATAGTATTGTAGCTCCATTTCTTGTGACATGGGGCCCTTTTATACACATGATAATTATCTGGAGGCATTTGTACCTCCAGAAGGCCCAGTGTGAGAGATGAGCAGATACTGAAGTACTAGACCCATCTTTCTCTCTGATTGTTTATGATCAGGGGTCAGAAGTTATTTATGTAACTACAGTGAGCAGCTTATACACTTTGTACATTTCTCTATTGGGTCTAAGTTTTTCCTTGTATTGTGTTGCACAAGCTTCTTATGTTAGTCATATTTTCCATAAGCTATTTTTAAAATACCTTGGCTTGAGAGATTATTTTTAAAATACCTTGGTTTGAGAGATAATTTTTAAAATAGCTTACATTCATCTTAAATGATTTTTGTTAGATTTGAAATTTTTTGAGTAAATTATCACTTATAAAAATACTTTGAGAAAAATTAATGTTTCAGAGTCCTTGTTTTAACCAGACTAACTATTTTCAAAGTTTTAAAAGAGATTTAGAAAATTTTTAAAACTATATTTATTAGTTTAAATCATGAAAGCAATTAGGTAAATGGAGACTAAGAGAGAACATTTTGGTTACATAAGACATATTAATGCTTCTCCCTGAATCGAATTGAAAACTAGATGATAGTTTATGTTCAAAGAAATGTAGAAAATTAGAAGTGGTAATTATTTGGGGGTTTATCCTTTTCATTTAGTTTCTTATTCACTTTCATTACATCTCTGGAAACAACCATAGGTTTTGTTATATGGCCCAGAGTCAAACTCTGAGTGTTTACTTGTATTTAAAAGAATTTCATGACAAAAATCCAGGTCTGAGCACTCTTTCACTTTCTGGTTTGCAGCATTTTTACACAGAAACCATTGAACAGTAAATGCATCCTCAGGCACTGGTACCTCCAGAAGGCTGAGTGTGAGAGAAGAGCAGATACTGAATTACCAGTCCCATCTTTCTCTCCGATTGTTCATGCTCAGGGGTCAGAATCATTCATTAAATTATTACAGACATTGTCAGTTTTTCTTTAAGAAGTTCTGTAAACCTAAAGGGCTTACCTAAAATTGTAGAGTAGTTCTGAATTTATAATCTTCTGAATTAAGTTCTGTCTTTTCAGGCCTAATGAGTCTCCCCTTCTATCCACAGTGGTTGTATGTGACTTAAGCCAGAAGGGGCAAAGAGTAATGTCGGAGAGGTGCCAAATATTATCTTCTTTTCCTTAAACTATATGTTTACATGGTTGGATACTGATTAAGTCAATAGGAAAAACCTATTATGTTTAAATGTGTCAGAATGGAGAAGAAGGGTCCCCGAAAATTTTCTAAGTGAAGGTGTGTAATCATTATTGCTTCAGGGGGACACACTGTGTGAAGGAAGTAATTTATTCTTCCTTGTTAGTTTTATCATCAGTGGCTTGAAATGTAGAAATCTGTGGAGTGTCTTTGTGTTGTTGTCTTTGGCAAGGTAACTTAAGAATGCTAAGGAATGAGAAGTATAGATACTCTTCCACCTGATGAGGGTTACTCCCTCATAAACCCACGATAACTGGAAAAAAATCACAAGTAGAAAATGCATTTAACACACCTAACCTACTGAAAGTCATAACTTAACCTAGTCTACCTGATACATGCCCAGATACACACAGAGAATAAAGACCAGGGGAAGACAGAGGCAGAGATGCATATGTAAACTAAGGAATGCCACAGATCACCAGATGCTAGGGGAGAATCATGGGACAGATTTTCCCTCGGAGCACTCAGAAGAAACCAACCCTGCAGACACTTTGAGTTCAGACTTCCAGAACTTTTTTTTTAATATTTATTTTTAGTTGTAGTTGGGCACAATACCTTTATTTATTTTTATGTGGTGCTGAGGATCAAACCCAGGGCCTCGCACGTGCCAGGCGAACATTCTACCCCTGAGCCACAACCCCAGCTCCCAGGCTCCAGAACTCTGAAGTAATAAATTTCCATTGTTTCAAGCCATCTTGTTACAAAAGTCCTAGCAAACTAGAATAGTCCCCAAATCTCTTAATAACCAAACTGCTTAATAGCCTTGTTTTAATTGCTTTACTTGTGGAAAAGAAGTAATCCCAGCCCATTGTGAGGATGCACAGCTTCTTCACAGGGACAGTTTTTATGTTTGATTTCCTGATGCTTCTGGTCCAATCCTCCCTCTCAGTGCAACCTCTGCAGTTTAGAGGCCTGTGGCTCTTGAACCAGAGTATACTTGGAGGTCACACTGCCTGGAGGTTAGTAAAGCCTGAAGAGCTTGTTAAAACAGATTGGGTAGCTCTTCCTCCCATGCATGGTCATTCTGTAGGTCTGGGTGGAGCCTCGATGATAATTTGTTAATCTAACATGTTCTCAGGTGCTGCTGACACTACTGGTCTGGGGTCCACATCTTGGACACTATGGAATCAGATGCTTGGAGAATATTTATAGGGGAACAGTAAGAAAGCAAGTTTTAGAAGTAGTCCTGAAAGTTTTGAGGGCTTTGCATCATGTGTAGATGACCCTTAAAATGCATTATCAAAATGGGTCCCAGCTACCCACCCTTCATCTACACTATAACACCTGAAAGACTAACACTATCTTATTAATTATAGGTTCTTTCTCTGTCTTCATTCTGAATTTGGAAGTTATTTCCTTTTACATTATGGGCTTGGAATTGAATGTCTACCTATTGTGTCATCTTGAGCTTCTAATTGGTGAAATTTGAGATCTGATCCAAAGTGAATTTCAGGATCTATTTTCTCACCTTCCCATGAAATCTTTTCACCATGACTACTTCATTAGGTTCATAACCCATACTTTCCATATTTCTTATTAGGTTTTTAAAAATTTTTTAATGTATTTTTTAGTTGTAAATGGACACAATACCTTTATTTGTTTTTGTGTGGTGCTGAGGATAGAACCCAGTGCCTCATACATGAGAGCTAAGTGCTCTACCACTGAGTCACAACCCCAGCGCCACTTATTAGGTTTTTAACCATATATTTCATTGGTGGATCAAGTTTTAATGTAGCGATTTATGGGGCTCCAAATAATATTTTGAAGATTTAGGAAGCTATACCATTATTTTTCCTCAGAAGCAGGCAGAGAGAACAGTATGTGTGGTCCTGATCAGATGAAGCACCAAGGACTGATCTTTGAGTGCAGGCATCAGGGTAAATCAGAGGTGCTGGGGAGGGACAGTAGGGAAGCAACCAGAGGGCATGAGTTGTGTATTCTCTGTCTGATCTGGTGTGGGTCATCAGGCATCTCCCTTGTTTCCACCAACTGCACCCCACTTGTCACCAGACCTCCTCCCCTAATCAATATGGTGCCATCTTTCTACACCTTGCACCAATATTATGTATTAGGGGAATATACATCCTTTTACCAGGTGATTTCTTCCTTTGGCTTTTCTTCCTTCCTTCCTGCATCCTCCAGTGACTAAGCCTCTAAGTCTCCAGCACGACTCATATCTGTCATTTAACTGGCTTGTTTCTAGGGTTCTTAATATGCCCAAATCTCTCTAGTTGAAAAAGGAAGGAAGGAAGGAAGGAAGGGAGGAAGGGAGGAAGGGAGGAAGGGAGGAAGGGAGGGAGGGAGGGAGGGAGGGAGGAAGGGAGGAAGGAAGAAAGATAGATTACTTATCACATCCCTATACCTGACCTAACAACTGGGTTGTCTCTTCTCATTGTGGAACTGGAGGGACATCTGCCTTTGCTCTCTCCTCTTCCTCTCCTTCTCTGACCTCTTAGTTCTGCCTGGATGGAGAGAAGACTCTTTTCACTGGTAAGTGTGTTCATTGGTCTTGATCTTGCAGGCTGCAATGGGATCTCCTCCCTGCTCACTGTAATACACCTTTAAAATTCAGGGAATCTTATGATTTGCGTTTCAAATTTCCCCAATTCAACTCTACCCACAGGGAACTAAAAATATTTTCAAGATCTTTATTTAAGGAATTCCCTACTTGGCAAACTTCCTGTGACTGGACCTTGGGGGAAAATGATATTCCTTAGAAGGGGGAGTTTCAATGCTAATTTAAATGTTTTAAATGCAGTTTTAAAATGGTGAGTTATATCAGATTTGTTGTCAATGAAGTCAGATTTATATGTGTGGATAAAAGGCAAGCTGAGCACATTTAATAGAATGGCCTATCTAAAAAATAGTTGAAAAGGAAAAACAAAAGCTCAAAACCAATCAAGAATAAATGATCTATTTAAATAATTGTACATTGTGTATCATTTCAAAGTATATTTTTGCCTTTTTAAAAACATAGTAGAATAAATACATTACTATTATTTCCATATATAAAGCTTATGGTGACAGAATAGTGAAGGTTGTACTCTAAGTTCTTAGTTTTGTTGACAGGTTTGTTTTAAACTAAATTATCTCTCTTTTCTCACCTGGACATTTCTGTAATCCAGAGAATGCAACCTTGACATGACAGGACAAAATACTGTGCCTAAGAAATAGTTTTTCTGTGCATAGCTAACTAGCTACTAAAATAGCAATAGAAGTTGTCCTCTTTAACACAATGTTTTATCAGGCTGATCCCACTTTCAAGGTTAACAGCATGTCTTCTGCATCTTTAATGGTAATATATTCATGCAACAATCAAATAGATAAGCCAGTGGTAAGGCTGCCCTAACAACTTGCCCCTAATTAAGGCTATTCTCATTCCAGAAGTGGGCACTGTCATGTCAGAGTCCAGTTGCTTGGCATTTATTTACAAGCAATCAGCTGTCAATTCCCAGGGGCTGGGGAGGTTTAGGCCCTGGCAGCCTGACACATACTAATCAAATAAACAAAAGGTTTGGTTTGTAAATCAGAATGCCAATGTCTTACAGGGAGAATTGACACTTGCTAAAAGACTATATTCCTTGTCACTCAATCTGCCTACCCTTGTCTGACAGGGAAGCCTAACACAGTGGTTAGCATGAACAATGATTGCCTAAATCTCTGTAGTTAGCCAAATGAGAAATGGAGCTGAGATTAGAATATTATTGCAGGGAGGGAGATGGGGTATGCTTCACTAAGAATTAGTTGATTACAAACAACAGAAAGGAATATTGCCTGACTGAAGCAAAGGGGATTTATAAGAAGGATATCAGGAACTCTAAAAGTTGACAGAGCATTGGAGACTCAGGCTACTGAGAGAGTAGCAACCATAACTATTGAACAATTTGCTCAGATGGAGAGAAGCCCAGCCAGTTTCATTCTGGACTGCTTTATTGATTTTTTAAAAATAACCTTTACTTTTTATTTACTTGTTTTTTTTTTTTATTTAGTGCTGAGGCTCGAACCCAGTGCCTTACCCAGCTAGGCAAGCGCTCTACCAATGAGCTACAACCCCAGCCCCAGGTTAGCTTTTAAAAGTTCATTAGGCTTTTCAAATTTCAATTGGTCTATGACAAGTGGGTATCTCTTATCTGCTAAGAGTTAAAAAAGTAAAGATAATACCCTGTACTAGAAGAGGTAAGAATCTAACTATATACAAATTCTACAATACACATTAGACTGAGAACAGAGCACATGTGCACAAAAGTGCAATTTTGGGGCTCCAAAAGTGAAGACTAATGGGGAAAGATTTCAAAGCAAAGGTACTGGCGGTGGGTATTAGAGATGACAGGATTTTGCTAGGGAAGTTGGAAGCATTTCAAACCGGGATGTAAGTAATGAGCATAGCCCAGATGTAAAAGGCTGTGAGTCACTCATTTAGCTAAATCCCCTCCTCTTCCTCTATGACTGGATTAATAGGGTTTAGCTAAGTGAAAAGAAAGCTTTTGAAGAAAGAGGCCCCTGTGCTTTAGAGGAAGGTGGCCTATGTCGGAAAGGAGGCATCACTAGGAGAAAGACCTACATATGCTACCTCAAAAAGGAAAAAATAATATACCACTCCCTATGTATGTGTTGGAGGCGGGTGATTGGTGATAAACCTGGAAGCAGAGAAACTAAGGTGTTCTTTCCTTTGGCTTCTCACCTCTAGGAAAGGGCTTATTATTATTATCCCTGCCCATGCTGGATAGGAGCCAGTGCACCTGGTAGCATCCAAAGGCACAAAATGTTAAGTGCCACTCACATCCAGAATAACTTTGGTTCCAGCACAATTCAAATTTAAATACAGGATAATCTGATGAAGATTTCTGAACATCAGATTCAATGTGGTAGGAGGACAACATTGGTGACACTGATGTATTGTGCATCCCCTATCCATTGCTTCATTCAAATCTCTATTTATTAACACTGACTAGAGACTCTGTCCTGAGGTGAGACTAGAGGCTACAGTATAAAAAAGGAAGGATGAATAAGTCACCTTCTTGAACTGCCTTTCTTTTCTCATCTGGAAAATAGCTTGGGATGTAATACCTTTGCTTCGCTGTTTCCTATGCTTGTGAAGCCTATACACAAGTCTGGAGCAGTTTGCCCTGTACCAGTCAGATGGGTGGGCCTGATGGGCAGAAAAACCAATGCTTTTCTTCTACCTCCTTGGAAGTAGAAGTCATCTAAAAGGTACCAGGGATACAGCAGCTCTGTGCAAACTAGTGGTCTGGTATTTGCCAGGAGATTTGGCATAATGCAAGGAGAAATAGTGCATGAATGATGTGATGGAATTATAGCTGACCATAAATTTACTTCCCATTATTGAGATGGTGCTTTGTAGGGGTTTCATTTAATTGGGATTTTCTTTAGCAGATCTAGGTTTATTTACCCTTTTACACTGATTTTATCGCAGGAGACTATAGGGCAATATGTTGAATCACAACAAGTTTTGTCAAAGTTCTTCCTCATTGACCTTTGATTTCCCTTTCCCTGCAGCATGCTTCTGGATTTCTCTGAAGTCTCTGTTGCAGATTGTTTGTAACCAAAGAGGGCACCTGTATTTGGAATTTTTTAGTGCCTGCTGCATTTGTTCCTCTGTATTCCAGTCACAATAAATGTCCATAGAAAGGGTTTTCTGAATTATTGGCCTGGAAACTCCCTGTTGTGGCTCAAAGTCCAGTCTTGCTCTACCATCCCCCAACACCTCCTACTATGATGCCTGCTAGTAAGAAAAGCCCAAAAAATCTCTTCAAAGGTAATATCTGAAAGATTTTTATTGGTATAAATTGCAGCTTCAATAGAAATACTGAATTTAGGTGAGATCTAGGAGATATCCAGCAGAATTAACAGTGGTTACAAAAGGATTCAAAGCTCTTTAAGTAGTTTTTTGTCCTAAGGTAGTTCCTTTGAAGTTTTAGCAGCATAAGCCTTCTAAGTTGATGAATGAAGAACCAGGGAAAGGGAAAGACCAGCTTTTGTTTAATTTAGGTTCAATCAGGTATTAAAAGTTCTGAGGAGACTCTTCAGGTCTCTATTTCACACCTTTCATAGTCAGAAATAAGAGCTCACAATCCCATGCTCTCCACTTTGTAGATTAATTGTTCTAACTCTTGGCAACTTCAATCAAGGCCCATTCTTATATGAAAATGCTCTGCTGTTCAGATCTGAGACTATGTGGTAAAATCTAACTATAAAATCTTTCTTCTTTTGGATAAGTAATAGGAAAACATTTTGGAAATTGGAAAATTGGAGAAAAAGTCTCATTTCTATCAACCCCAGCCCCAGTGGATTAAAATTACTCAGGTTTATTTCTCATTCATGTTAATGTCCATTTAATGTTAACTTGGAACTTTGCCCTCATTTGTCCTCACTCTGAATCCTGATTGACAAACTACAACCATCTAAAATGTTGTTGCAGAGGGGAAAGAGGGCTTTGTGTATCTTATACTGATGGTTAAATTCTCTGCCAAGAGCAATAGTCTTTTTCTTTCCTTACCCACTAACCAGAATTTGTCATAGTGTCTCACTTAGGGGTTTGGAAAGTGCACTGGAAGGTGTATGCACATAAGAACTAACACTGCTGGCCTACCTTTCTGCTTTTCTCTGCAAACTGGGCACATTAGCTCTGCTTTAATATCCACCACTATCTGTTTGACTTTGTCTTTATGTGTTTTGTCTCTCACTAGCAAGGACTATAATTGAAGAATAGAATCCCTTTGCACCAGGTGTTCACCCTGAGTCCAAGTAGCAATGGTTAGAAGGGTGGGGTTGGTGGGTGAAAGAGGGAAAGGTATTTCTAGGAATCCCATTCTGCTATGCTTCTTTACTCATCCTTGGCAATTACTCTCATTTTGGCTTCTGTCACTCTGGCTTCTCTTCCTATCACTTTGGTCCCCATGTGGAGACAATGTTTAAGTTCTTCTCATAAGCTCTTAAGTACTAGAAAAACTAGAGGAAATGGATAATTTCCAGAGCGTGGAAGGTATCTGATGAGGCTCTGCTCCCTTCACCTAATTCCATCAGTTTCCCTTAGTCCAGCCATGTATACTTAATTCCATATTTAGTATTTGACAATTTAGTATGATATTTTTTTGAGATTTTTTTACATTAAAGATTATTTCAAATTGGAAACCCTAAATCCATTACCATAATTGCATCAAGGCCAAGTTCACACTTTGGGCCTTTTCATTTCTGTAAAGAGAAGATTAAATGCTATTATTGTAATAACGCCTCAATTCTATTTACCCGTTCAGCTTTAAGTGTTTTTCTTCTTAAGTCGTTAATTTGTATCAGACCAGATAAAAAAGCGTTGGTGGTTTTCCCTAAGGTAATATAGGCTTAAGAGATATTGAAACCAGGGCAGATAAGTGTTTTCTGCGACAAACCAACCGGGGGCAAGGCATAAAAGGAGCAATGACTTATTCATTACTCCAGATAGACTGCCACTCCTCCTTTTCAGGCTGCTGAAAGGCCGGGCTCAAAGGGCAGGCAGGCTGTCTGCAGGCAGCGCCGCTGCGGCTACCTGGAACCCCAGCAAGTCACCTGAGTCCTGCTAGTGCCTGGACTGCGGAGCTGCAGCAGCCTGTCGGCAGTTCGCCCGGGGTACTAAGGAACACCCCTGTTCCCTGGGGGAGTACGCCCTCAGCCGCCTGACCACCGAGTAGGTGCCAAGGAATCAGTAGTCCGCAGCGGCCATCAGCGCCCAGGTACCGTGTGCCGCAACACCTGCCTGGCCAGCCCCGCGCCTGGGGCGGGGCTTCCCGCGTCCCCTTTAAGAGGCCGCATCACCCGCCCTGACGTCAGGGTGTCTCTCCGCACGAGCCCGCGTCCCGCTCCGCTCCGCGCCCACAGCCCCGGCGGCTGCACGACGAGCGGCGGCCTGGCGACGGTGCCGCCCCGCTGGGTCCACCGGTCCCGCTCCATCGCCGTCTCATTTCCGCACCCGCAGTTGCCCCGCCGGCGCGACCTCTTGCACCATGTCGGTGGCCGGGCTTAAGAAGCAATTCCACAAAGCCACTCAGGTAAGGCGCGTGACAGGTGCGTCGAGGAGCGGTCCCTGGCTGAGCCGCGAGGGGCGCTTGGGAGCTTGGGGACCCCAGCCCAGAGCTGAGTCCGCGTTGGCCGCGCCCCGAATCTCCCGCCTCTCTCGCGGCGGCTGCGGGACGGTTGATGCGGGAAGCCGACCCCCCCACCCACTGACTCCGCCTCGGTGCGGCGCTGCAGGCGCCCGCGGGTCCTTGGCGTCCCGCCTAGTCTTCCTGCTCGCCGCCCCCGCACCGCCACTCGCCGGTGCTGCAGGGAGGGGACCGCAGCTGCACCGGAGCGCCGCTCAGGTGCCCAGGCGCCACGGCGGGGATTATGTAAAGTCGCTCCTTCCCCAGTGACCTTGCGGTGTCGGTGCGTCCGACTGTCCTGCGATGTGCTGGCACGAGTGGTTGTCCGCACCCGGGGTAGCTGCGGAGGTGCCCGCGGGATACACTCTTCTGAATACCTCCCCCGCCCGCGTCCTCAGGCTCCAGGGGAATGGAGGATGGGGGCTTTCTTCAGTGAAGCATTCATTAACTTTTCCGTGGAGAACTCCCCCATAAAACTTCTTTGAGGCCTTGACTTGACCAACACTGTGCGTGTCTTGTAACATTTCCCATGAATTTTGCTGTCATGGCATAACCTAATTGCTGAAACTTAAATCAAATATTTTGAAGTATTTTTAGTGAGCCTTTTACATCACAGGTGTGTCCATTTTCCCTTAATAAGTTGCGATCTTCGTTTAACTTATTTAATTCAAACTCTAGTAATTTAAATCATATTGGGCCCAGGTGAAGAATCTCACAGAAGGAAAAATAAGTGAATACTTACATGATGTGACCTATTTTTTTTTAATAATGTATAGGATTACCTTTTAAAAAAATTTCTTCTGAAACAGAGTCAGGTTTAAGGAATCTTTAAGGACTTTTTTGATTTACCTGTAAATTTTTTCCATGCTTTAAAGGCGTTTTCATAGTGAATTAATAGTAAATTTCTCAGAAGTAGTGACGTTTTTCCCAGGCTGCCATAATAACAGTGTTATGTAGAAACTACCTACAGAAAAGGTGAGGATTGTGTTTTGTAGAGCATTTGTCAAGTTAGGGTGACAGATGCAACATGAAATTCATCTGGGGTGTGTGTGTGTTTATATGCAAGGTGTCATCTCTATTATCACTGCCTTTATAAATATAATTGCCTTTATAAAATTAGCTTTGTAAGTTTTAGGAAGTCAGGAAAATTCTTATTTTTGCTTTTCTAAGGAAGCTTTCTATGACCTCTCTGCCAGAAATGTTTGTAAGCTTAAGTGCATTGATGATTTAGATAGGAAGGCATCTAAGCTTTATATTTTAACTTCCTTCAGATTTACAGGACCAGCATATGTGCTGCTCCTGTTATCTTTTCAGCAAGACTTCTTTGATGTTACTAACGTTTTTGAATTTCAGGTACTTATCACTTCTCTAAGTCAGACCTCAGCAAGGCTTCATTTTTTTTTTTTTTTTTTTTTTGCTAAAAGGCAATTAGAAATCTTGGCTTTGGAGTGGATAAGGCTAAGATTTGGTATCCCAACTTTGTTGCCTCTGACCTTGAATGAGTTAACTTCTGAATCTGTCCTTCCTAAAATGAAGATAATAGTCATTGCTCAGGGTTGATGAAGGAGTATAAATGAATTTGTAGAACATACACACACACAGTCACACACACACAGACTGCCTAATAAACAATAGCTGTTAACCCTGAGAATAATTTCTTTAGTATAAAATACTGTCCCTTATACCAGTAATGAGACATGAGGAAATTATGGAAGCTATAATTTTTAGCTTTATTACCTTACAAAATAATGACATAAGTCCTCATTTCAGCCAAATCGTGAGGTCGTGTGTCATGCTAAAATTTGGGATAAAAAAGTTGGATTACAGTATGTATGAACTTTTTACATGGTTGGAGGAGGTCTGCTTGTGGTAAGATTAGCATTTTATCATACTGAATCCAAATGAGGAACTACTGCATTATTTTCTTTTGCTGAAAAGTCTTTTATTTCAAAATTGAAGCAACATAGTCTCTTGTTCATAGCTTAATGTAGAACTGTAGAAAACTTAAGGCAGAGATTACTCTTTTTATACATGAATGTGTATTTTGGAGGGTATGTAAAGGGAGTGTTAATGTTTGTATGTGACAAAGATATTAGGGAAATAGTCCTGTCTTATTTTTGTAAGACATTTTTCCCATATAGGTTCATGAACCTGATCTTATCTACCAAGGAAGCTTTAGACCTAGAATTATTTTCTTTTGAGAACTGGCATGCTGAATTATGTAACCTGTGTGTATAAATAGAAGGCAAACATTTTTAATTTTTACAGAACTGAGATTTTTGCTTATGCTAATGAGGGTAGTATTTGTATTAATAAAGCAGTGTACTTTTAGTGTTTGAAATATTAATTTGGAATTTTTTTTTACTAAAATATGTCATAACTATGATCTTGTATTAGAACTGATTATTTCTGTCTTGTTGTCAATAGTCATTTTAATACCTTTGCCATTTGGAGATGAAAAAATGCTTTTGCAATAAACTATTTCTGCATGAGGATATACTAAAATAGCAAAAAATCACCATCTTTTAATATGCCTTATTAAGTTCTCATAAATATATAATTAATTAAACTAACTTTTAAAGCTATATAATAGAGCAAATCAGCATCTGTTAGTCTGTTCATTCATTTTGAGATTTTGTTTTATCAAGAGTAATGTCCCGTTTTTTCTGTGTGTTTTAAACCTGTAGCAGTTTAGGGGGAAAATAGCCTCAGTTAACTTGCTGCTTTTACAAAACCTGTACTTTTTTTCCCTTATTTTTTAACTTCACTGTACCATGTATTTTATGTGTATGTATCTGTGCATGTATCTTACTTTATAGTAACATAGGAAATTCTGTTATAGAGTAAAAAAGTATTTGTTCATTGTATTAGTTTGCTAGAGTACCACACACTGAGTGGCTTAAATAATAGAAATGTACCACCTCATACTTGACTGAGGGATGCTAGATGTCTGAGATCAAGGTGTGGGTAAGGCCACACTCCCTATGAAAGCACTAGGCAGGATCTGCTGCAGGCCTACTTTATAACTTCTAGAGCTATATTTAAGGCAGTCTTTGGCCTTCTCTATATTGTAGATACATCACCTTGATCTTACCTTCATGTACATATGGCATTCTCTCTATATCTATGTCTTACTTTACATATTTTATAAGAACAATCATATTGGATTGGGGGCCCACTGTCCTCCATGTAACTCATCTTAACTTCAGTAATTATATCCACAGTGTCCTTACTTCTAAATAAGGTCACTTTCTCAGGTGCTGGGTTAAGACTTTAACATATACATGTTTTGAGAGACATAATTCAATTCATAACATTTTTTGCACTAATGGGTTCATTGCAGAATCTACATGTTGCATTTGATTCAACATTTAGAAGTCTATAAATATTACATAACTTTACTATGTTGAATGCAGTATACTTTATTTTTAAAAATTAGTTTGGTAGGAATATTGCTATGGTTTGAATTTGTCCCCATCCCAAATTTTTATTTTGAACCTTTATTGCTAATGAGGTAGTATTAAGAGGTGGGGGCTTTAGGAGGTGATTCATTACTGAGGGCTCTGCCCTCATGAGTGGAACTAGTTGAAGGGAGTGCCCCATCCCATTTTGCCATGTGAGGGTATAGCAACAAGGTGCCATCTTTGAAACAGGGTGAGCCTTCACTAGACATGAAGTCAGCTGGTGCCTCGATCTTGGACTTTTCAGACTCCAAAACTGTGGGAAATAAATTTCTATTATCTTTAAATTATCCATCCTAAGGTATTTAGTTATAGTAGTCTGAACTAAGGCAGAAATATACCTATTGTCTTAGTACATTTTCTGTTGTTATAACAGAATTCCATGAAACTAGGATGTTAATGAAGAGGTTTATTTTGGCTCATGATTCTGGAGGCTAGGAAATCCAAGATTGGGTGGTCACTTATGCTGAGGGCCATTCAGCTTAGAATGGCAAGTGTGTGGTGTGTCTAAGAGGCATAGTACAAGAAGTGGTCTTGCTTTTTAACAGTTCACAGTCTCGAAACTATCCTGTCTCTGGAGAGTGACAACTCCTGTGAGGAAGATATTAATCCAAGTGGTTTTGGGGCTCCAAAACCACTAGGCTCTACTTCCAACACTGCTGTCTTGAAGAAATAAGCTTTCAACAAGTGAACTTTTGGGGGACGCCCTGAAACCATAGAACCTATTGTAGGCTGTATCGTCTGACTTTTTAAAATGATAAAACTCATTTGGATAGGTTGTATATTATGATACAGTTTGTTTTGCATTTATTATCACACTCAGATTCTACACCTGGGAAACTTTAATTACATTTATGTTCTTTGCCTTTGTGTTTTAACTAATTTCTTCATGCTTCCATTACTTTTAAAATGCTGTATTTTTTCTAGATTCTCTGCTCAGGAGAATATTATATAAATCTATTCATGCAATTTGTTGGTTATTAAAGAATTAAAGGAAATATATAATTAATTAGTTGTGATTGAATCAAGTTCTCAATTCCTTAACTGTTTGTTCTAAGCACTAAAATCTCCTGTGCCTTTAAAATCTTGAAGTGTGGCTTCTTGCTGGACAGATCTTAAGCCTGTTTCCTTTGCCAGGTCTGACAGTAGGCTTCAGGGCCTTATATATTTTCTGAAATTATATGCCACATTTTATCTATGCATTTTTCTGAGGGAGAGGGTCTGTAGTGTATCACCAGGTTCTTAAAGGAATTTCTAATCACTGCTGTCCCTTATCAAGTAAAAATGTAGTGCAAGCAATTGATCATGTAGTCTAGAGGGAATAGAGTGCTTCTTACAACAACTGTCACTCCAGCCATTCTGTTACTAAGCTCGAGAATGTCTCATCAAAATGCAGCCTTCCCTGAACTATAGCGGCAATCAAATATTTAAAAACCTCTCCAGAGG